TCGCCCTATCATGCTTTTTGGGGTTTTCCCTCAGACAGAGGATGAAAAGAGGCATTGTTTTAATTTTTTTTTAACATTTGTAAATCAGTTACATCTTCATCCAGAAATTTCAAACTGACAACCTAGCTCGAAGAGATCCTTAAAACATTGTCCTACAGCGACATCATGCAAAACTGTGATATGAAGAAATTGGTAAAAAGGCTAAGATGGCAAAAAGATAAAGGCGAGTACGTATATTATTCTGGATTGTACTTTTAAATCATCACAAAATAAATGATGTGCTGAACTGAAACACGTCAAAATGTGTCTGAAGTTTCAAACATAGAGCAAAGTATTTGAGCTTAAAATATGTCAATTCCTAGTAAACGACCAACAATTGCTGAACCATACATTGAAACGTTGACCTTTAACATTTAAATGCAGTTTTCCAATTCACAATGACATCTGTAAGTTTAACTGGTTTATAAAGCATTAAATGAAAGGCCAAATTATTATAGGTGTAGGAGCTCACATTAATACACTGTCAGTGTTAATAAACTAAACAAAGACAAGGCGATGTGCCTGCAAGACTACACTCAGGTAAAAAAGCATATTACCCATGCGCAGCAGCTAACCTGCCTGTGAGCCTTCGCTCAGGTCACATTTACACACGGCGCGGCTGAAGCTCGCTAGCACTAGCAGTATCGCTAGCAGCCACATTGTTTAGGCTGTCAAATACGCTGCACCGTTTTAGATTCAATGAGTGTCTCGTTTGCAAATGCTTCATTAAGTTGCTTGTGTTACCCCCTTTACAAGCAACTAATTGAGTACATAGATTGCACCTTGCACTATCGCCACTACATTTTTGAAAGTGCACCCAGACCTTCGATCGCTTCGCTCTGTCCGCCATGCCTGCGGGAGTCTCACAAGAATAATAAGAGCGCTGTTGAGAGAGATGACGAGTGCATTTACAGTGGCCAATCAGAGGGGTCTCAAACCGGATACATCACACGATGAGGGTTCCCAACCAACCAGAATGGTTTAAAGTTAAACTAAGGAAGTAGACGTAACACATATACCGATAGCAGCACCGTTTGTCCAGCGGCTTAACGGTATACCGATACCGTCCAATCAGGTACCGGTATTGACTTGGTACCGGTTCTCGATACCCATCCCTACTAAAGACCTTTTTGCCTGGTTGTGGTCTTGAGTCCTATTTTTTGCTCCTGCCCATACTTGTGTCTGATAGTACAAACTGGCCAGCATGGACTCTGCCAGAACTGGAGAGGGGGACTCGAGAGGGGACTGGAGAGGGGACTCGAGAAGGGACTCGAGAGGGGACCTGACAGGGAACTGGAGAGGGAACTAGAGAGGAGACTGGAGAGGGGACTGGAGAGGGGACTCGAGAGGGGACTCGAGAGGAGACTCGAGAGGGAACTGGAGAGGGGACTGGAGAGGGGACTCGAGAGGGGACCCGAGAGGGGACCCGAGAGGGGACTCGGGTAGGAACTGGAGAGGGGACTCGGGTAGGAACTGGAGAGGGGACTCGGGTAGGAACTGGAGAGGGGACTCGGGTAGGAACTGGAGAGGGGACTCGGGTAGGAACTTGAGAGGGGACTTGAGAGGGAACTTGTGTCGGTCGGTACACCGACAGGACACGGGGAGCTGGCGTCGTCTGGGGAGCCAGCAGGAGACGAGGTGCTGGAGTCGGCCGGTACGCCGACAAGACTCGGGGAGCTGGCGTCGGCTGGGGAGCCAGCAGGAGACGAGGTGCTGGAGTCGGGACCATGACTGTATGGGCCAGCTCTGGTGCAGGGACCACGGTTGTAAGATCCAGTTCTGGAGCCGGAAACATGGCTGTAAGGTCCGGAGCTGAAGCCTGGATCATGGCTGTGTGGGCTGGTTTTGGAGCCGGAAACATGGCTGCTGGGGCCGGCACTGGAGCCGGAACCATGGCTGCTGGGCAAGGAACCGGAACACGTATCCATGGCTGTGTGGGGTGGTACTGGAGCACGGTACCATGGCTATGTGGGATGGTACTGGAGCACGGAACCATGGCTGCTGGGTCCGGCACTGGATCCGGAACCATGGCTGTTGGGGCCTGTACTGGAGCCGGAACCATGGCTGCTGGGGCTCGGGCTGCTAGCCTGGCCTTGCGACGACTCCTCTTAGCAGCCTCCTGAATACTCCGTGGACCTCCATAAGCCTGACGAGTTCCGGAATACGACTCCTGGACAGGAGCAGGAACTGGGGCAGAAGCACGGGTTGACTTCAGGCGGAACCCACCAAGGCGTATGGTGCCAGGTTGGGAATTGGGAGACAGGGAGCTAGCATGCCTGGAATCACATGCTTGAAGGAAGTCCAAAATCCAGTCAGGTAAAAACTCAACAAAACATGGTTTCTCTGCTGCCAACCGGAGCGCCTCTACCAGAGCGGCCCTCGTCTGCCGAACACTGGACGCTCCCTTCCACCAATCGAAGCAGCAAGCCAGATAGAAGGTTACATGCTGTAATTCAACCTCCCATGGATCATCTGCTGGGTCCATTTTGTGGTCGGTTCGTTCTGTCACGGTGTGTGAAGCAGGTAGTACCCAAATGCAGAATAAAGTGACAATTCCTTTATTTCAAGGCTAGGTGAAACAACAAAGACAAAACAGAACACTCACCGACGAACTAGTCATGACAAAAGACAAACCGACAAAGACAGACAGAAAAACCAGAACTTAAATACACACAAGACTAATCACACAAACAAGACACAGGTGAGGAGGGAGGAGAAAACACAGGGGCCACAGGTGAACACAATCGGGTAATCAGACACACCAGGGAAACTAACGACAGGGAACCACAGACAAATCCAAACAAGACAAAACACAACGCAGACAGAAAACCAAAAACAGATATAGACAAGACAAAACACCACAAAGACAGATCGTGACAATACCTTGATTAAAACAAACTTAATCTTCAGCAAACTATTGTTGTAAATGACTTTCAGCTGAGGGAATATAGTGATGAGATTCTTCACAAGGACCATCTTTTCAGTGTTGGATGGATAATTAAGGATAAAAATGAATGACAAGTGAGCTATTTATTTTTTATTTTTCAAAAAGAATACAACAGTTCTAGCATACAAATATTACAAATGCGTGATAATAAAGCAATTGGTTATAAAGAATGTCCTTTTGTATCAAGCAAATAAAAAAACAATTTTTACAACCAATTATATTTATATATATATATATATATATATATGCAATTTTCGCCAGATACAGCCCACTCAAAAATATATTGTTTTATATAAAATGTATTCATATATATGCAATTTTCGACAGATACAGCCCACTCAAAAATATATTGTTTTATATAAAATTAATTTATATATATATATATATATTAGCTGTACACTTTACGAATATAATAATTTTGTATGGACAACTTTACCATTCAATCTCGTCCAACTGATTTTGCTGCCGTCACTCCTCGGTTCTTGGTAGTTCAGGCATTTATCAAACCTGGCAACCCCGGGTTTCCTGGCAGCTGTCAATCAAAGTCCAGTGGCTCCGCCCCAAAGTGCCAGAAACTTTTCACGCGCGCGTAGACAGACTCCGCGAGGCTGACACTCCCGCGAGCAAGAGGGCTGTCTCTCTCGCTCGCGGGCGCAGAGCGGCTCGCGGGGGTTTAATCTGCGCGCGAGGGTCATTTTATGCGCGTGTAAAAGCACATTTTCCGCTCGTGAGTAGCTTGTTTTATGCGCTAGAATATTGACCCAAATCTGACTCCATACAAGGGAGCAGGATTTACCACCAAGAGCAGGAGTTTACCGGGCTTCGCCAGGAATAGCTTGGTTTCAGTCACGTGACTTCTACGACGCGCGAAATTCAAGTGGAGGTCAGGAAGTGAAAACGCAATCATTCATCAACGCAGGAATCATGGAGGACACCGACTATGTCAAACAATTAAATGAACCTGCACGCCGCAGATATCGTGAAAAAATCACAGCACACATCGGATACGATCCGTATCAGCTGAAAAAGAGCGACTTTTCTCGTGATTTATCAGATTTGCCTGCTGTCGAGGCGATGGATATCACCAGCTACCTCGTCCTTCATACCTCCTACTACACGGCTAGCCAAATGAAAGCGTATAAAAGCCTGGAAGCTTTCAACTACTTCGTGTGTGGATGGGTGAATGACCAAAAAGGCATTAAACAAATGTCGCCTTGTTTTTGCCCGGGTGAGTGTGAACTACCTATACCTTCTTACCTCTAAGTAGCATTATTAGGAGACATCTAGCTAGCTAACTTTAGCTACATGGACTCATGTAAGGCAGGGTTACGGCTGTCGCCTTGCCTTCAGCATTAACTGGCCTGTGAGTGTTCTGTGTGTGTGTGTGTATATATATATATGTGTGTTATGATTACATGTAGGTACTATGGTTACCGCGTCGGCGACGTTGTTTCGTTCCTCTTGATGACGCTACTTAAGCTGCGACGTTGTTGACATTCGGGGCGCTGGATCTGTGCTAGGACGCCATGCTACCATACCTCAGAATGTTTGTGTGTTATTGGTGCTTATGTGTGTGTCCTTACGATATTGTTAACAGAGGTTAACTCGGGTGCTTATGGTGTGTGTGTACTTAGGATATTGATGTGAGTGTATGTGTTCAGCTTAGGATATATTGTGTTTTGGTGACGGCGTTGTACTTGTGCGAAACGTCTCACCAGTTCTGTCTTAAGTGTCCTGATTCGTGACTGTGATATTCTGTGGCCTTCGTTTTTGTGTACTGTTGTGTATAGACAGCTCAGAGCCTTTGAACAGCCTTCACGTTGTTTATATCACTCTATGTTGAGGTTAATATTAAAAACAACCTCTTTACCAAGACCATCTGGTTATGTGTTGCTTCCCTTTTACCCCGAAACGAGCTGGGGACGTAACTTAACTATACTAGCTAGCTATGGCTTGATGTTTTTAAATGTATGTTACTAACTAGCAAGTTGTTAACTGGAGCTTCAATTTTGTAGGTCAACCATTCCCAGAGGTCTGGAGAAACACCATTAAAAACGTGGATTGTAGCTAAAGAAGATGGAGAGGTTGTTACAGCACACTGTAACTGTATGGCTGGGTAAGTCATAAAATAAATATCCCAACCCAAAGCATATTTGACACAACACTTAAGCTCAGACAAAATAATGCCTGCTATAATATTCATGTTATACCATTACTAGCTTTTACGATCAATCTAGTTATTCTAGTATGTCTCTGTCTATACAGTTTGTCAGAATCCTGCTCACATGTTGGAGCAGTTCTGTTTGCAATCGAAGCAGGTGTGAAGATGAGAGAGACTGCATCCTGCACCACTGAGAAGTGCAAGTGGCTAATGCCATCACATGTCAAAAAGGTATTCAGACCCCAGTGGTCAGTCAGCTGTTCATGCCGTCCTTGCCGGTCTCATTGTTACACTGCACCTACATGTATGTTCACATACATGTTGGTCTGTCTCTCACATGTGCAGATTCCTGCTGCTCCAGTTGCGATGATAGACTTTTCATCTGTAAAATCCAAAAAGCAAAAACTGGATGATGCCATTGCTGGAAGGACAGGTGAGAAGCACACATTTCAGCGTCCCACAGTCCAAGGTTCAAAATTGGAGCGAGGATCAGAGAGGTATATGCAGTTTTTCAAGACTTTGAGCAGAAATTCCCCAAGAAGTGCTGCACTGATGTCCAGGGAACCATATTACAAAGGATTTGTCCCTAAATCTGTGAGCAAGCTACCTAAACCACTACCTCAGTATAGGACACCAGAGATGCTACAGCTATCCCCAACAGAGTTGCAGAATGCATGCCAGGACTTCAGACAGGAAGAGCTGACACAGCCACAGGTCCAGGCAGTAGAGGAGGAGACCAGAAACCAGAGCTTATCACCAATATGGTTTAGCCAAAGAGCAGGAAGGATCACAGCCTCAAGACTGAAGCAGGTTCTACAGACTAGTCTTGCACAGCCATCAAAGTCCTTGATCAAGTCCATATGCTACCCAGAGGCACACAAGTTCTCTACAGCTGCAACAAGGTATTTATTAGGGATTAGGGAGCCAATCAGAATGGAGTATTCACCCAGACCATGGTATAATTAAGCAATAGCTCACGACAGGCCGTGGTATTTGTTCATTATATCACAGCTAAGGGGCGTGGTTCGGCCCGACGCGAAGCGTCTGGACCGCTACGTAAAAAGGAGGGTTTCTGCCCCGTTACTTCTCCGCTGCTTCCTTGTTCCAGTTTGAAAAGCAAACTGCAGGCAATTTGCTTTTCAACGCAACTGCATACAGTTTTTCTCAGACGCGGAGGGATACCGACTTGTTGTGAAAAGTAACTTACAATTCTACCCGTGGTATACGCTGATTATATCACGGCTAATAACCAATCAGATTGCTTGATTTGACTTGTCCGTTTTATAATGTACAATGTTCTATTTCTGTTCCTTGTTGTATACATTACAGGTATGGATGCAAATACGAGGCAACTGCCCGAAAGCAGTATGAAGGAGTACAAAGTCTGCACCACCAGGGTTTCAGCTGTAAAGACAGCGGGCTTTGGCTGAACCCCCAATGGCCATACATGGGAGCGTCGCCAGACGGTTGTGTCACATGCACCTGCCATGGAACTGGTATCTGTGAGATAAAGGTAAGTTATTTGTTCAGTATTGTGCTACAGTAAAGCGGGTAAGTATAGGATTGTGACGTGATCCTGAGTCTGGGGATCCTCTCCCAATACATTTTGAGCTGCAGACACTTATTTACAGTACAATATATTGCTTTTCTTTTCATTGAACTTTTAGTGCCCACACAGCAAACAAGAGGAGGCCAATCTTCGCCTGTGTGCTGGAGAACAGGGCTTCTGTCTCGTCAACGATGGGGGCACTGTGAAGCTGGACAGGAGACATGCCTACTACCATCAAGTACAGGCTCAGCTCCACGTCGTTGACGTTGACTACTGCGACTTTGTTGTCTGGACTAAAAATGACCTCTTTGTAGAGAATTGTGCGTGATGTGGACCTGTGGGACAACATCATTCCCAGAGTTGAGAGTTTCTTCAGACTATGTGTTCTCCCTGAAGTGTTGGGACAGCAACTTACAAGGGGAAAGGTACAAGTCATAAAGAGTTGGTGTGCTCATTTTTTTCCACAAGAACATGTTAGTGCATAACTATCAGGTAACTAAAAGCCTCCTCTCCCTGTCTGCTGTTCCATTTTTCAGTTTCAGTTGCAAGATGATCAGGAGGGAGAGAAGGCGTGATTACCAGCACCTGTGGTCTGTCCTGGTCCCGGAAGTTGTGGTTCTCTCCTTGTTGCATTATTATTTGCACAGTGGCAGCTCTTTAACCTGCATTACAGCACCTTCATATTCACTGACCACACTCACTAGAGGAAGTAGGGCTGTGTGATATATTGCTATTGTAAAAAATATGTTTACTGAAAAGATTAAATGATACTAAGAAGACTGAATAATACATGGTTTCTTATTTACATTTACAATAACCCTCAATGGCCATACATGGGAACGTCACCAGACCAATTGTCATCTCTAGAATATTGATGAATGAATTAAGCCTGAATGTAGATGAAAGTTGTATATTGAGTAGGGCTACACAATTTACAACACACAAAAATATGTTTACTGAAAAGACTTGAACACAAGATGTTTGAACACAAAAAGATGTTTACTGAAAAGATTAAATGATACTGAATAATACATGGTTTCTTATTTACAAGACTACAGCTCCATGACTTTACTCCAATGGGACGACAGACACTGACAGATTAGACAAGGCACAGCAAATAACCCCAATCTTGTCAATTAATGCTAGTGCCTCACCTGGTTTTGTTAGCATGTGCTCTATGGGCACAGCCCTGCTTTGCAGAATCTGATATTTTCTTCTGACTAATCCTATGACAATTTCGACATGAATACGCACATTAGCTATTTTTCTTGTCTCTTCCACCTCGTATGCTGACAGCTGACTTTTCCCCCTGGTGAATGCAGGCATCTTTAGTGAAGCACAGTAAAATCCCACACTATCGGCAATATCGAACCCACGGTCTGCTAGGACAATATCTCCAGGTAACAGGTTTTTTAGGAGCCCACTCTGTATTGTGATCTGTTTATCACTAACTCTTCCTCCCCAGGCACAAGATATGTAAGTGTCATAGCCTTGGGGAGCAACACCAATCAGAAATTTAACAGTATGGTGATGCTTGTAGTTGGACCATGTTTGTGCTCTAGCTCAGGGGTGGCCAACCAGTCAGAGGTTAAGAGCCACATTGTTTCTATGTTACTGCAAAGAGCCACATCAAACACACAGTCACTGATACCGCTTGTTTCCGTTTTTTAGTTTTCTGGAGACAAGATTTCAACCACGTCACTGATGCATTTTTGTGGCATTGGGATATATATTTTTTAAATCCTCTGGAGCAGAGAGAGGAGCTGTGGATTATTGTTATTGATTAATGCATCAGTGTTTCTTAGGGTCAAAAACACTAAACTCACAACTTAAAATGAAAGCGTTTAGTTTATTTAATAAAAGAGCACATGTTCAATGTGAAAAGTGACAGTAGTTATAGATTATTTGTAATTTGGTGCTATATATATTTTTTTTTTTTAAATTATATATATTTTTTAAACACCTTGAATTTCAGGGGGGGGCGCGGGGCTCCGTTGGCGGGGCACAGCGCCCCTCCAAAACAATGGTAGGGGAAACACTGGATAGTGTTTAATCAACGATAGGTTTCCCCCCCTCAAAGGTGATTGGTTCACTGCGTCGCAGGTATTATTGTGATTGGCTCTTGGGCCACATCAAAATTAGACTTGCTGTCATCCTCTCATACTGACACCTGACACCACACATACGGGACGAAAGTAACGGAGCGATTTTATCCGAGCCCAAACCACTTTGACCGGCCAAATTACGTTAATACTTAACAGACCTACTAAATATCAGGTTTAACTGTCAGGAGTAGCTAGTGTTGTCACGATACCAACATTTTGGTTTCGATACCAAGTCAAGAATTGCGATTCCGATTATTTTTCGATACTTTTCTTAAAAAACAGTCTTAAATGTAATTATTGTGCTTTATTTCACACCAGAACCATAACACAAACTTTTAAACAATGAGAACAATAAATTAAATAAATGACAAGATTTCCTATTAAATAAAATTAATACATTTCTCACAGACAGGCCTCGTGGTGTCCGTAGGCTTGCCCTCACTGTCAGAGATATAGCTCAAATACTTCCAAATTTCGCTTCTGGCGTCTTTTTTGTCAACAAGCCGAGGCGCAGCGGCAGTTGCACTCCCACTTGCAGCCATGCTTCTCGTTTTCTCACATGCTCTGGCAGCTAGCGCGTGCACAAGAGAGGGGAGGGACTTAGAGCGTGCTTGAGAGGGGCGGGACTGCAGGCACGGCTGCAGTGCAGGGAGTGGAAGCAGAGCGCTGAACACACACGGCTCTTATTAAAACGGCGCTTTCTCACCGGAGTACTTTCCCCCGTCATTCTTAAAGTACCGATACTAATGAAACGGAGGAATCGTAACATTTTTAACGGCAGGGTATCGCGGTACCTTTCAAGTATCGGTACACCGTGCAACACTAGTCAGGAGTCAGTGTCTCTCCCCCAAACTCACACATATACAATTCGATATGAACTGAAGAGCCGCATGAAACTAGGCAAAGAGCCGCATGCGGCTCGAGAGCCGCGGGTTGGCCACCCCTGCTCTAGCTAGTAAATTAGAGGGCCTCTCAATAAAAACTTCAAAACAGTCAACAATCACAGCAACTCTACATCCAAATGCCTGTCTGAATCCCATTGGCATTGTAGCTTGAAGTACATGTCGCTCTGGCCACTCAATTATAAATTCTGTACTCTCGTGAAGTATGTCAATTAACTTATGCCAAATTCTAGAAGCAGTGGAGAGAGATGTTGAACCTGAAAGCCAAATCTTTCAGAGGGAGATTTAGTCTCAGCCTCAGCAAAACTAAAATGAACTGTTCAAATTTGGAGAGCACAGACATAGGGCCACAGGTGATGTAGGGCTCGCACAGTTGAAAAACCTGAAGTAAAACTAAGAAGTTGGGGAGCCCGGTGTAAAACTTTGTCTTCTCTTCGTTGTTCTCAAAGGACTCCTGGTTGAACTTTGTGTCCAGTGCCTTTGTCCGAAGATCTCCCAGCTCTGTTGTGTTCTGTCTCAGAACATCCTCTATCCTCTCGATGTCCTCCATCGTTAAATCAGTCTGGCCTCCTGCATCTGCATACAATATAGCAAGCATAATTTGTTATTTAAAATAATCAAATATGAATGTGAATTGTTGTGAAGTTATCTTTTTGACAACCTTTTTACAGACATGCAAGTTCTCTGTTCCAATTATTGCAGATTCTCAAGTTAGTACTCTATTTTCTAAACCTAAACCTAATTCAAAGTTTGCATTGATTTTTTGACAATCACATTTGTAATATTTAATAATAATGCTGGTGGTTTATTTACCTTGTTGGTCATTTAATATCCCACTGGTGTCCTCTGGTTGTGGGCTGTCAGACGGGGGCTGCGTCGGTTCTGGGCTCTCGGTTGTCTGCAGGAGATCCAACAAAGCCTCTGCACATTCTGATTGTCTTTGTTGGTCTTCCTTGAGCTCCATCCTCTGCTCTCGTCGAAGAGATGCCTCTGATCTGAGCTTACTTGTTGTGTGGTAACCGAGGCTAACAGTGGGAGCTCAGTCTACCGACTCAACTTCACCCAAAGCGCTAGGGCACCCTAAAAAGTCCCAACAAAGTCCATATTAGACTACAGGTAACTTAAACATGATCAGTATTACTAGGTAAATAAGCATTTAACCACAACCCAATAATACATAAACAAATCCACAAAAACCAAGTTAGCTAATACCTCTGATGAAGTGGTCGCTGCAGACACGTGCATTAGACGACTCTGCTCCTCCCGACCGCAGATGTAGGTTTGAAAGCCATTTTTCCGGCGTTCTTCGGTTAGCTTCTTAAATTGCTCAGCTTTATGGACGACAACCTTCGGCACTCGGTAAAACCTCTTGTTTTTCTCTCGGCCGGATCGATTGGAACAACCGTAAACTACACAACACACCGGCATTTTCACAATGGTAACAGCAGCTAGATCCTCTGTAGAAAATTAATTCCTGACCTCCAATGGAATTTCGCGCCAAAGGAACGCAGCGCTGTGACGTCAAGTGAAACCAAGCTATTAAGGTTGATGGCCGAGAGACAGGAGTCTGTTTTGTCGTCTTTTGGTGGGCAAGTCTGTTATTTGGTCGAAAATATCGAAAAACTATTACTCCAGCCAAGTCCTCCAGCTCCCCCATTGCCTGTTTTCCCAGTGGATCCTACTCCAGTCCAGTCTCCAACTCCGACCCTGTCCCCTCACCTCTCCCGACCAGAGCGGTTTTCCGGGGATTCCGGTGATTGTCGGGCTTTCCTGGCTCAGTGCGGCCTCCACTTTGAGCTCCAGGCTGCATGCTACCCATCTGAGCGCTCAAGGGTGGCATACATTGTCTCCCACCTTTCTGGCCGAGCTGTGGCTTGGGCGACGGCAGAGTGGGTGCGAGGGTCTCCTGTTTGTGACTCCCTCGATCTCTTCTCTGAGACCTTCACCAAAATTTTCCAGCACATCCCACCAGGGCAGGAGGCAGCCAGAGCACTCGTTGACATCACTGAAAGCAGGGATCTTCACGTTGCTGAAGCTTGACTTCCGGAAGTAGGTGGCGCAGCACTGCTGCGACCCGGGCTCCTGTCTTGTGCTGCAGTTGTTGTGTATTTATGTCTGGTTAAACGTTCCGTCCTTGATTTAAACCACACGCTTTAATCAAGAGACTGTGTGTGTGTATGTTGGTACAATGACGACCCTTGCCAAACATTACAGGGAGGAAACAACTTGGCCCTGTCATACACCAGAGACGCACTGCTGGCCCTCCGTGCTGTGGGAAGCTTCCCATCCCCCAACCTGCCGGAGGACATACGATCTACGGCTCCGAGGAGACGTCTCCGTAGAAGGGGAAGGAGGGGAGGAGTACGGCAGCGCCTCAGACAGAGAGGCAACAGGCCGCCTTTACCCTCCATGATACTCAGTAATGTGAGGTCGCTACGGAGGAAAATGGAAGAGCTGCGGATCAACGCTACAGCCTGTTTCGAGTACCGTGAGTCGTCTATTATGGTGTTTTGTGAGACATGGCTTCATCAGGATATTCCCGACTCTTTGTGTGAACTGGAGGGTTTTTCCCTCATCCGCTCGGACAGGAGTGAAACGTCAGGGAAAGGCAAAGGTGGGGGCATCTGTGTATTTATCAATGACAAGTGGTGCAGACAACACACTTTACGTAAGACTATCTGCAGCCCCGACGTTGAACTTATGTGCTTGAGCCTAAGACACCTGTACCTGCCTAGAGAGTTTGGGAATATAATTCTCTGCACTGTTTATATTCCACCCAGCG